GTTACGATGCAGTCAAATTCGATGTCAGAGGTTAATAACTCCAGGGATGGGAGACAGCGGGGAGATGGGGCCCCTCGCTCAAGCAGGAGGTGACTGCCATCCACATTGGGATCACGAGGCTTGAAACTGTGTCAGCAGCTGTCGAAGCTCTTGCCCGGTGCTTTTCCGACCCCAAAATATCCAACGTGACGTCGTCGTTGTTCGTCATCATCGGTTATCGTCGTCATGTAACCTTCTCGTGGGGTTGTCCGTTGCACGTACTCTCGTCTGTCGTCACGTTCTATTTGTGGCATGACGTGACTTTCTCAACATGCGCCTGCGCACCTCCCTCCCCACCCTCTTCGACCCCCTCGTCTCTCTCTAAAATGACCTTCGAGGCCAGGAGGGTAGGTACTTTGGGATTCACAGTCCACGACTCAATGATCCGTGGTTCGAGTGACAGGGATGACGAGGTAACTCACAAGTACCAATGTGGCTTACTTTGCTTTAGTTATCACTCATTTGTCGACTCTTGGAAAGAGATCCAGGTAGGCCTGTTATTGATATGCCCGGATATCAGATGATTGCGCGAAGCCCTCCCGTCTTCCAAATGGCGTTGGCCTTTGGTCTACAATGGCCCCTCCTCGCTGGATTCGACGCCAATCGCTAAATGGCTCGGCACGTCCCACGAACCACAACTTAAATCCTGTCACTCAAAGGGCAAGAGCAGCAGAGGCTTCGCCGGCGACGGCACTATACACCGGATCACGGCGTCATGATAATGAGAATGCCGAAGAGCAGCTCTGAGAAGCATGCTGACCTGGCCAGCCCGTCCGTGGTCTCTGGTCTGTGGTATGTGGATAGACTCTGATGACAGTACCATCGCCCCGTAGCACGATGTGACCTGCAGCAAGGGTCGACCTGCAGCAGCATGTGCTTCCCCCGTTGGAGGCGACAAGGGCGGCACCTGCACTTTTGCTGGTTAAGGACACACCACCTGAGCTAAAACCTTTGCCCCTCCTCCCTTTTGGGCTTTTTGGGCTCAGCGCCTCATCATTTCTGGGCATCACCAGTTCCGGTTTACTGGGAAGAATTGAGCCCATGACAGGGTTGGTACGTGC